ACTGTGAGCTCCCTGAGGGCAGCAAATGGGTCTTAAATGCCACACTGGACCCTGAACCAGCACTTAGTGTTTCTTAGGAAATGCCTGAAGAATAGCAACATGGATCAGAGAATGGACCACCTGTGGCTTCCTCCTGTTTGTGTCTGGGTTCAGTCCATTCCTAGCATGGCAGAATGACTGGAGACCACAAGAGGGCAGCAAAGAGTCAGAAACAAGCAACAGGTGTGCTCTGGGGCCCAGCCCAAGCCAGAGTTCCAGAAGAAGATGAGAGCTCAAGGAAAAAGTGGGGACACACACACACACACACACACACACACACACGCACGCACGCACGCACGCACGCACGCACGCATGCACACACACGCACGCATGCACACACACGCACGCACGCACGCACAGGAAGAGCAAAAGCCCTTCTCTAGAGAAGCACCCAGAGGGCAATGGTTCAGCCTCCCTTCAGTGCTGGAGTCTGCAAGCCTTTGCTGGCTAGCCTCTGTGGGCCTTTTCTAAACTTGTTCAGTTATTGGGTTTCACTGGGTTCTGTCCTACTTGTGGGAAAGGCCTCTACACAGACCTGAGTAAGCACAGGACCCCTTCTAACAGGACAGAGAGGGAGGCCTGGAGAGAGAGGAGGCAGCGCCCACCCGTGTGATGAGGCCCAACACTGCCAACTTTAAATATGAAACAATGGGGTCACAAGCCAAAGGATGCTTGCAGCATCCACAAGCTAGAGAACAGAAGAAATCTGAGTACCCAGAAGGAACTCAACACCTTGACATTAGCACAATTAGACTGTTTGGGCTTCTGACTTCAAGAACTGGGAGAGAACATTTCCAATGTTTTAGGCCACTGGGTGCAACAGGAGATGAATAGACTTGAGTTACTGGAGAAGGCTTCTCTGCGGAGGGTAACAGGAAGTGTGAATGGGCCAGGAGGAGAGAAGCTGAGAAAGCCCAGGTGCTGCAGGTCCCTCACAGTCAGCTCCTGTCCTCTTGCAGCTTGCCTACACTTCCCCTCTGGTTCCAGATGCTCCTTCTGTCCCTTTTCCTCACCTACCACCTCCTCAAGAGACCACAAACTATCACAGTGCAACTTAATGGCAAGGCTTCTAGAAGTAATTTTCCCAATCCTTGACTACTAGTGTGTCCAGGACCCTAGGGACTATAAAGACCATAGGGAGCCTAGGGACCACAGGGACTGGCCATGCTCCTTGTTGCACATTGCTCCTGTCAATCACTTTCTGCATCTGCTACAGCCTGGGGAAGATGAGGACACCGTCAGCCCTGCTGGTACTTTTGCCTAAAGCTACAAAGCTGGAGTAACACAAGGGGCTGGGGAGGGAGTCCCTGATCCCTTGAGTGACTCTCAAAGATGTTTACCTTCTTTTCAGACTCACTAAAGCCAAAGGGTAGCGGACTCCCTTCCCCGCAGCCCAGGGCACTGAAGAGTTCCAAATGCCATGTCAATATCGGTGAGGTTGCACAAATATCTCCAGGCAGCATTGGTACTTACTCACCGATCAAGACACTGTGGAATCTTTGGTGCAAAACTTTTGGTATTTGCTGAGACTTGATGAAAATAAAATCTGAAAACTGTCTCCACCCTAAGCTGATATAATGTGCGGGCTTTGCTTTCTTCAGTGCAAAGGGCTGCAGGAAGGGAATCTACAGGCACCTCAGAGAAGCTGGGTGCCATGTTCTGCTGACGTGAGAACGCCCTGGAGCAGGAGGGGCAGATAGCACTGCAGCGGCAGCAGGGCCAGAAAGCAGGGCATGCCAACAAGCTGCCACTCAACACAGAACACGCTAGCCCCATTTTTTCACACCCCACAGTTCAACTGCCTGCATGTACCCTAGAGGCAGTTGCTCTTGTGTGTGTCCTGAAAGCAAAAATGTTATAAATGGAAGATTCCACTTATATGTGGGAGGCAGCAACAGCCGTACGTTTCCTAAAGCCCACGGAGGCGGAGAGCCATAGGGTTTCCAGTTTCCCTGCCGATTGCACTGCAGGCCCATGGCAAGTACGGGAGACAGATTCCCACAGCGAAAACATCCATCCCAGGGTGGCCACCTCAGTGCTGGGAAACCAGATAACAGCTTCCCGGGAGTCCTGTCAACTGTTTCTCAGAACATGCCAACAGGCTCTCCAGGGCTGTGATAACTGGATCCCATCAGTAAATACCTCAAAGACTTAGAATCCTGAGAGGTTAAGCAGCAGAAATCTGGACAAATGTAAGATCAAAGCCCTCAAGCAGATCACGGAGTAGTCTTGTCCTGGTCCCTAGAACCTGGAGGGTGAAACCTGTGAGTGCCAAGACAAGTTGGCAGATGTGGAGAAGTTGGGAACTTGAGCTATGAATGACCTGGATTGCTCACACGGGCCCTGAGTGCTGGGGTGCCCTCATTTGAGAGGAGAGGGTGACGTGGAGACTGGGCCTTGGGGTGATGCAGCTCCAGCGAGTTGAGTTGAGGAACAGCCACTTCCTTCCCAGGGATTCCCAGCACCAGCGTTTTGGCCTGGTGATGCTGACTTCACACTTGTTACAGAGATGAGAGAGAATGCTCCCATTATCACGAGCACTGCATTTGGAGTTTTCTTCTACTTGTCACAGGAAATTAAAGCGCAGGGTTTTCTGCTTTGCCCTGCCTCTGTCCCTGGCCAACACTCAAAGTACCTAGAACCCGCTTGGTGCTATGACGTGCCCAATGCTAAGAAGGCTCCAGTGAGAGCGGTGTGCACCACTTAGCTGATGGAGCACAGAACACTGGCCCCAGCTTGTGGGCAGTGACATTTGTGCTCAGACCTGGAGAGGGAGGCTGGATCGCAACAGGCAGGTGGAAAGTGGTGCAGCCAAGGATAGGGAATGAAATAGATGAGTGACTGGGGACAGGGAGGGTTGGAAGAAGGGCCCACAAAGCAAGCTAGGGCCACACCTTGGCAATGCATGGGGAAGACTAGATCACTGTTCTGCTGAAAGGCAGGGTCCTCTGTGCTGGGGACACAGGCCACCCAGGAAACAGGTGTGGAGACAACGTAGAAACAGGACACGACAGCGGTTAGGACACTGAGGAGCAAGAACTAAGCTGTCTTGATCTGGCATCAGAGCCAGTCAGGAGGAAGAGGAGAAAGGTCAGGAAGCAGCGAGAGAGACATGGAGAAGGAAGAATTCAGGGTCCTTGAGCTTCAGGCTCCCCAACGGTAATTCTTGTGTTCTTCCCTTCAGTCCTGTGCACTGTGGCGGGGAATGGAGGCCTAGAACCTGTGTTCCCATTGCAGCGGACTGGCGATTGTGCTCTTGTATGGCTCTGTGACTCCTGCTGCCATCCCTACTGGATGAGAAGGTACCCCTGTCCTGCTGGGGCCTCTGCCAGGCCCATAGCCATTTGTATGTGGGGCCTGGTAGTTGGGGCTTGAGGGATGACAGGGTCCAAGGGCCGCTTTGTTTGGATAACCAGAAAAGGTTCGGCTGCTTCTCCTAACTTGTTCTCTGGGGGAAGGGAAAGTTTTCTGGGAGGACCATCAAGGGGTGGTCTCACTTTCACCAGGTCTAATCAGGACCAGGACCCAGGGTCACTTCAGCAATCCCCTTCTGAAAAGCCAGGGTTGGGACTTAGAGAACCCATTTGCCAGGGCCAAGCTCATTAGCTACGACATGAAGTCTACTAACTTCTTTGGGTCCCAGACATCCAGAGAAATGGGGTTACAACCCCGATCTGACAGAGTTGTTCTGTATAAGCACAAGAGAAAGAAGTTAGCCTGTTGATATATAAAGTCAAAAGCCGTCTTGAGTGCAGACTGTGACCCCAACTGCTAGAGGCTGGAAAATGAGGAGCCCAAGAGTATGGTGGTGGAGATGCATGCTCCACTTCCTCTGTTAGCCTGTGCACTGCATTCCTCTGGCATCCGCCACAGGGCCATCCTTGCAGCAGGACAGGCAAAGTATTTGCATTGCAACCTGGCAGGCCTCCCCAGTGTTGGCAAGGCCCAGGACAAGAGCGTTCACGGAGGCCATTTCCCATATGTCTCATATTTAAAAGGCATAAATCAAGCTAACAAACCGTTAAATGAAATATGCTCCATCCTCCTACCTTGTTAAAAACGCTGTGCACACGACTAGGCTAGAATGGAATTTTGAACCCTGGGGCTCCTTGATATTCTCTGCCAGGTGTACAGTGCAGGAAACCCCACTTGCCTGTGCCCTAACCTGCTCCACTTGTTGCCATGTGAAGCCACACACACACACACACACACACACACACACACACACACCTGTGAAGCCTTATATACCTTTTACTCAAGTCCTCACCATCAGGGGTTCACAAGCAGGCCATTAGGGCATCTTCAGGAGGACAGCCCTGGGGTAGAGCCAGAGAAAGCTCAGCTCCATCTGTGTGGGCCTCTGGTGTGGAGGAAGGAGCCCCTCGGTTCTGTGGACTCACCCTGGCCCATGGGATGGATGAGGAGGGGGGAAACAGAGGACATCCTTTAAGGAATGGTGTCAAAACTGACACTTCATGGGTGGAGAGACAGGTTATTAAGTTTTAATGGTGTTCAGTATAGTTCAAGTGGTGAACTCAGTAGTCAACAACCTATCTGTCTTGAAAACACACTGTGCTCATGCTCAAGGGATAAGACCACCAAGAGGGACTCATGTGACACAGATTGAGGAATAAAGAAGTTGGGGGCGGGGAGAAAAGCTAGGGGGACCCCAACCAGCTGGCCCTATACCTGTCTGGGTTCTGGCGCCCAGTGTGGCTGACCGGGGACTTTTTAAGTGTCAGATGAGGACCCACCCTCTGATGTCCTCCACAGTGCAGCCACTGCTAGGCTGGCCCCACTGTAGACCCAGCTGCAAAAGAGGCTGAGTCAACCTCTGCTGACTTATTCAGGTTGATTTCTCAGAAGCATGGAGTCACCTGGGCTGCTCTGGGGCAGAGAGTGCCCTCCCACAGCAACCCCATCTGCTGCCTGCTGTGGAGATGCAGACAGTGCAAACTCACCAGGAACCATCCCTGTCAGCGTCGGTGCAGAGTAGCTGCCCTGTCCAGCGGGGGGGACGTGCGGAGGGTACCCTGGGAGGGTCGTGCTTGCCAAGTCTCGGCCTGAAGAATCAAAGCAACAGATCACAGGGTGAGCATCTCTGCAGCCTGATGCTCGGCCACAGCTCCCTGGACATCCTACACATTTGTCACTTCTGGATGCTGAACTCCAGCATGTCCTACTCCCCATGTCATTTGTACATGCTCGAACACCACAGACAGACACATGCGCGCATGCACACACACACACATACTCCACACCAGCTCCCCTGGCTGTACTTGGCAAGTACGAAGCTAGAACTGTGCTCTATCTCTGAGAAATCAGAACCCCTCAGGGAGGTGGGACAATGGCAGTGCCATGTACCAGGCTGTGTACTTCTGACTTAGACTGCTCCAGCTCCGCCCTGTTGCTTCTGATCTGTTCTCCTCCAGCCACATACAGGCTCCTGCCATTGCTTTAAGACAGGCTCACACATGTCCCTCTTACATTCCCAATAGCCTGTGGTGGGAGCACCTCATATCCTCCAGCTCTATTCCTGGCCTTGTATTGCATTTTCCCTCCCAAGATCCAAAGTCGTTCCTTTATTCAATGAACATACAGGGCACTTCTCCCCAAGCCAATATTTCCATGCAGCTGGTACATAGAGGCCAAGGCCCTGACACTCAGGTGGAGACTTGCAGACCTTTGAGGGCAGGGAAGGCTTCCGGCCCATCACCACCACTCTGCTAGAGAGGTAGGAATCTATTTAGCGCCTGCTCGAGAATCCATGCAAGGAAAGCGCTGACCGCTGACCGCTCTTGCTGGCCAGCCCACGTTGACATTTTGGAGACACAAAACAGACCTTAAGTGGAAGAAGGAGAGCAAATGGCTCAGGTCTCACGGGGACCCATGACAGAGCAGGTGTCTTGTGGCACATAGTAGGCATTTTGTGAGTAAGTCCATGGGGTAAGCAAACATCCAAGAGGCTCATGGAAAGGAATCTCAAGGTAGCAGAATTCCATAAGCAAGGAAAAAACAACTATGTCCCTGTCTGTGTCCCTTCAGGAAGGAGCAAGGCCTGTGGCTCTTCAAACCCTCTTGCATGTATGTTATAGATGACAGGAAGATTGCTGATAAGACATGGAAACCAGACCTCGGGAAAGTACCGTGTTCTGTGGTTACTGGACCCTGAGGGAAGGGGCCGGCCCATGGGCGGGAAGATGAGTGACTGCTGATCATGCAGTCCCTCCTGAAACCCAGCAGTATACCAGTAAGGACTCTGAGCCCAGCCCATCCAATGGCGCTCAGAGGAGAGCCACCACTGACCACTGTCCTCCAAAGACCCAAGCCACTGTGTAGCACGAGAGCAGGAGCATGTCCTGAGAGATGACGCTAGCCCTTCTAGTATCATCAGTCCGTGACCATCCATAAGAGTGCCTCATCTCACAGTCCACCAACCTTCCAGAACTTTAAGAACCCCAGACAGCCCCCCCAAAGGAGTCCCCTCACTGCCTCTGCACATCACCTCCATGGCTTTGGGCTGAGTACCCTGGCTCAGGTGTCTTTACCTGATGTTGGAATTGAGCAAACACCCCAGGATTAACTCTGGGAGTCCTTCATCCTTGGCATAAATTGCACCCAGGCAATCCTCTCAAGGAAGGCCAAGGCGAAACCAAACAGCCCAGCTTGCAGAACCTGAGGCGATTGAAGAGCTTTGCCCTATTAGGTTTCCCATGCCTCTCAGCAAAGTCAGAGCTCCAAGTCAAATCTTTGTACCCCAAGGTCAGAAGGGCACAAGGTTAAAGAAAGAAGCTGTTCTGCTGGAGACACAATGGTCTTGGGAGTCCCTGCAGGCCCCTCCACTCCTGTCCAAGAGGAGACTCAAGAGGAGCTCTGGGGCTGTTCTTGCCATTTTGCAGATGGAAAACTGAGACCTGGTGGAAGAAGGGGGACAACTGGCTTGGGGCCCACCAGGACTGTGTCAGGGCAGACACCTCAGCTCAGCGCTACCCCAGCCCAAGGCCTCCTCATCCCCAGTCTTCTTCACAGAATCAGTGACGAAGAACTGTGATGATGTCAGACACCCAGCACAGGGCTGAGATGTCAGTAGCCAGTCTGTGAGATAGCCAAAGTCAAGGCCTGCCTTGGTGCGGGGCATCTCTATCAGTCGTGGGAGCATCTCTACCAATTTGGACAGCATCTCTCACCTCGTCTCTGACCCCAGGTTCCCACCTAAGAATGACAACTTCAAGCAAAGAACACATGCAAAGAAATTATAAAACACAAGGTTCTTGCAAGGATTTTAAAAAGGTTAACACTTCTAGCCCTCAACAGCCCAAGGAAGTGAGGAATCTATATGATCCTCTCCTTATAGGAAAAAGTGATTTGCTGGGTGAGCCAGTGTCAAAGTTTACATGGCTAGCCAATCTGTCCACTCCACTATCTTGCTATGGGACTGTCTGTACGTCTGGCCTTGATTCCTGAAGTCTCATCTCTCAGCTAGGACATTGCCACCATTGATTATTGGCTCCATCTTCCAGAAGGAAATTTGACCACATAGATTTTTATAGTGAACATGTTTTTCTGGGGTTAAGACAAAAGAGGGGTGTCAAGCATGTCTCCCGGAAGACAAGGCTGCTGAGGTGAAGCTCACCTTCTGCAGTTGTTCATGAACTCCAGCTGCCCCGGATGGAGAGCAGGGCCCTGAGAAGGGCAACATGTGCCTGTGGAACTCAGAGAATCTGAGTGAGACTTGGCCCGGACTCCAGGGCACCTGCCTCCTGGGATCCAGTTCATCCTATAAGTGTCTGCCCTTTGGGCTGTTCTGTCAACAGGTTTGTTTTTTGTTTTTTGTTTTTTGTTTTTTTTTCTTCTGCTGGTACACACTTTAAAACCTGATCCTTCAAGCAAAGATTCAGAAAATCAAAACCTTGGCAAAGAGCTCAACTCAGAAGGCCAGATGAAGCAGCAATAAAGCAGCTCGGGGAAAGGAGGAGGAAGGAATCAATACATGAAAGAGGAAACATAAAGGCAGACGCAACCGTTAAGTATAGCCAAGAGTTGGTATTTGAAAATGAAGTGACGTCTATAGCCGGACCACGCGGAACACGGCCAGCCTCATCTGAAAAGACCATAAAACAGACAGACAGAAGTCAATATTTAAAACAAATCCCATAGAATTATCAAGATCAAAGGGCCTGAGCTGCTGCTGAGGGCCATGTCTGGGTCCATGGTTCAGCTGCAGCTGGGTTCTGTGTTGATGTCTGTGGCCCATGTCACCTCACGGTGGAAGGAGGATAATAGGAACCATGTGGGATGGAATTAGAGGGTCAGGATGAGCAGGTCCCATACTTGGCTGGCCCCAGGAAAGCTAGCTCTGCCTCTCACTGAACACTGCAGCAAGAGAGCTGGCCTTGACCCTCACAGGAGAGCTGACTCCACCCCCTCACCTGAGGACGGTGACCTCAGAGGCCTGGACTGACCAGCTCAGCTATCACCCAGGCCCACAGCCCAGCCTCAGGTTGGCTCACCCTAATACCTGCCCCACCTAGGACCTGCTAGAGTTCATGAAGCTACTGGTCCTGTGGGACAATACCCACAGGACCTCCATGATTTGAGGAGGCCGCGGGATCCCAGAGGAGTTTCAGTGAGGATCCAGTGTTGATGGTGTACCACAAACCAGAGGCCTTGGACCAGACCAGTGACTCACTGCAAGCAACTTTTGCTAGTAAAGTTGATTGGACAAAAGGGTATACTATGCGCCACACCACTCCCAATGCCATCAGGATGAATGAAGAGGTGTTGGAGAGGCAGGAAAGACAAAGAAGTGAAGAGGTTTTTTAGTTTAGTTTTGTTCTTATTTTTGTTTGTTTGTTTGCTTGCTTTGCTTTGGTTTGATTTTTTTTAAAATTTTCTTTTGGGGAGAGGAAATGGAGGGGGTGGGAGGTAAGTGAAATTAGGGTTCATGATGCAAAATTCCTGAAGAATTAATAAAGAAATTATGTTACAATTTTAAAAAGATAAAGAATGAACAAAGATAACTAAAATTATAGGAAGAATAACATTTATAAAGAATATAAACTGCATATTTATAAATATGAAATTCTCAACAAAAGGTTCAATTTTCTAGGAATATATAAATTACCATAATAACAAGAATAGTTGGGAAATACCAATAGCCTAATAGTCTTTGGAGAAGTAGAATAACTGTCTTTATTTAAAAAAAAAATAAGAGCCTTGCCCATTAGCTTCATGAGCAAGTTTTTAATCTATGTTTTATTTTATATAATCTTCAAGGGATATATGCTTATGTTACTAAATAGTCTAATGCTCATCTCACCACCCTGGACTAATTGAGATGTAAGCACAGCAGAAAAACCAAGAATAAAGGTTAGTATCATGACTCATTCATGGGGTACCAAGTTATTTCATTCATGTTACTACCAACAACGGTAGCAAATGTCCACTATCACTCTGATTTGGTCATACCAGCCATGACCAAATGAGTTTTATCCCAGTTATGAAAGGATGGTTTAATATCAAAATATTGGTTAGAACACCCTATCACTTTTTTTAAGCTGTCTATCTGTATGAAAGAGATGGAAAAGACATTGCTACCATCTAAAATTCGCTCCTTACATATTAGTAAATAAGATGGAAGTACACTCCAATCTTAAACCGATTTAAAATCATCAATAGTATATTATACTTCATTGCTGAGACACTTGGAGGATTTGTTATAAAAGTCAGGAACGTGACAGGGAAGTTTATTATCAAGGAAAATTATTCTGAAAGTTTCAGCCAATACGATAAGACAAGAAGAGTTACTGTAGAGTGTGGGAACAGCAACCAGAATTATTCAGCCAGAATTGCCTTAGACCTGGAAGAGCAGGTCTCCTGCTGGAGCCATGAAAGAGCTGGTGGGACTGTGGAGTAACGGGCAGATGTTTGCAGGTATCGGTTCAAAGACTAGCTCCCACCACCTTTGATATTACGAAGTCTTTGGCTTGGTTTTCCATGGCCCCTGCAATCTGCGCTTCCCCAGCGCCATGAAAGCTTGGCCAGTCGCCAAGCTTCGATGAAC